ACGTGCATTTTTGTATTTTACAATGTAAATTACATGGCCTCAAAAAAATCCTTGTAATTTTCCAACCCTAGTCACAACTCAATCTTAGTCTCAACAAAAGATTTGTTCACAAATTACGACCACTTTTATCACACAATTGGATCAAATCTGTGGTAAGTTTTGCAAAATTCATTAAAAACACGTGTTTTTCATTTGTTGTGAAATCTATGGCCAGAAATGTCACCAAAACTGTCGAAACCGTTATCACCGGGAGATGTGATAACCGAAGACATGCCTATCATTCATATCATACACAATGAATACAAAGACAAGTATTGTGATAATTGTATGAAAAGATCGGATCAGTTGAAGAAGTGCTCGAAATGCCTTCACATGTATTACTGCAGTAAAGAGTGTCAGAAGAATGACTGGAAGTATCACAAGAATGAGTGTCCACTCTATGGCCGGGACTTGACGTCAAAACTATCAACAGATAATTCGGTACGCATTCGACTCCGACTCTACCTTTCAGTGCAAAAGATCCCAAACTTTGCCACAAAAAAGTACCGATTGTTTGACGGATCGGATGTCAGTCTCAATGACATCGCAGTCAAAGACAATTGTCTTAAACAGAAGCAAATTAGAGAAGAATTGGATGTCTTTTGCAAATATTTCAGAGCCGTAGGCATTGATTACGAGCGACAAGAAGTACTCCATTGGTTGTCATTCTTGTGGACCATTCCTCTGCTTCCAATCAAATCTAGTGATCAGGAAATGCCGGACCCTATCGGTAGCGGTCTATACATGCAATACTCACTGCTCGGCCACAGCTGTCAACCCAACAGCGCTATTATCGTCAGTAAAGGTTTGTTACTTAATATGAATTGGTTTTATCATAATTTCAAAAACCATTTATTGACAGAACTATCGATACAATTGCGGGCAATGAGACCAATAGCCGCCGGCGAAGACATTACCATAAGTCACATACCGTTGGATCTAAACCGTGCGGACAGACGGAAAGAACTGGCGTTTTGGTCTATAGTGTGTGAGTGCGACAAATGTGTCCACCATTTGGATCGTAACATCGATTACACACGTCTTCGGCCGTCAAATCTGTTTCCACTCAATGTCTTCACATTTGGCACTCAATTAAGCGATTATTTGCGGGAAGTGTTGAATCAATTGAATATTGTTTTCGGTGTATATCATCCGCAGAAGACTATTCTTCTGATGGCAATCGTTAATAAATTATCCGATTGTCCGCTAATTCCCGAATCGGTTTTGAATGAAATGAAAGCCGATTTAATGAAAGCAATTGATGTGACACTTCTTGCCGACAATCCCTTAAGGATTCTCGGCATTCATAGGTTAACTACAGGTTAATTGTCTGCCATTTAATACATAATTATTAATGTTTATGCGGTCTTCTGTATTGAATGCTATTTTTTAGTTGATTATTGATTTTCATTGAATTTGTCGTTTAATTGTGTTTTACTCTAACTTTTATTCACTTTTTTCAAATAACAACAAATAATTATTTAATGATAAGTGAATTCAAGTCGTGATTATGTTTTTCAATACATTTTTAAGCATTGCTTTTACTCTCAAATCAAAATACAATTATTATGTAATGCTATGAATCTCTTATATCTGTAATAATTAATTATTATTTGCTATTATTTATACATTTGTATACTTTTTAGTCAATTAATAAATTCAATTTTTAAATGAGATTCAAATAAAAAATGATTAAAATTTTGTTTGAAATTTGCGCTCAAATTATAGCCAATAATAAGCCATAGGTTTTGGACACAAATCAAGTGATGTTTGCTTTGAGTCAACACTTGGTCTCACTTTTGAAGCATTAATCCACAGATCAGTCCATAAACTGAGAGATACTTTACGGACAACTCATTCATACCATAAGTCCTTCGCTTTGATCATAAACTCAGTCACAAGATATCACACAAACGGATCCAATCATCAAATCTCAGGTAAGATATGAAACACTCTTAAAAACACGTGTTTTTAATTTATTATGAAATCTATGGCCAGAAATGCCGACAAAACGGCCCAACGTTTGCCACAAAAAAGTACCGATTGTTTGACGGATCGGAAGTCAGTCTCAGAGACATCAAAGTGAGAGACAAAGAGGTGAATGTCGACGGTTTGGTTGACTACATTGAGTTTGTTAGCCAAGGGTTAAGACGATTACATTTACGTAACGACCGGCAAGAGGTTCGCCATTGGTTTACATTTATGTATACCATTCCTCTAATTGCCATCAAATCTAGTAATGTCTCACAAATTGGTGTTTCACACGTCGGCGACGGCGGTATCGGTCGCGGGCTATACATGCAGTACTCACTCCTCGGCCACAGCTGTCAACCCAATAGCGCTTTTGTATTTAACGATCAAAGTATACACTTTTAAATGCATTTTTACCGTAATTATAATTATGATTTCCCAATAAATCCATAGCAAAGTCAATGGAATTGCGAGCAATGCGTCCAATCGGTGCCGGAGAAGAGATTACCATTAGTTATATACAGATCTATAAAACTCGCGCCCGAAGACAGCGAGAGCTCCAATGGTTGACAATAGTGTGTGAGTGCGACAAATGTGTCCACCATTTGGACCGTCGGGTCGATTATCAGGCGTCAAAAGTAATCCGCTTTTGGCCATCGCGTGAGTTCTCATCGGCTGCGCAAGTAATGCATTGTCTGCGGGAAGTGATGGACGAATTGGATGTGATTTTTGGTGATTTTCATCCGCAGAAGACATGTCTTATTCTAAGAGTAGTTAAGAAACTATTCCATTGTCCCGAAAGAGTGGTTCCCGAAACGCTTTTCGATGAAATGAAAGCCAATTTAATGAAAGCAATTGATGTGACATTTCTGGCCGACTGTCCATTGAGTGGTCGGTCGCCGAAGACGTTAACCATCGATCAATTGTCAGCAATTGAGAAACGTTTGTTTAATTCGTGTTATATTGAGATGTTTTGGAACTTTGAACCAGCATTTTATGATGGGTTGTAAACGACATTGATTTTAATCATAAATACTTTGCGATTAGTTTATTATGGAATTAGTTATTGATTTGATTTGTTTTTGTCTTCTCTTATATTAATTGTAATTTAATTGTTTTATTGTTTCGGCAAAACATTGTTTTAAACGAAAACATTTTATATTTGTCATCACATTTTCAAACATTGATTTACTCTAAAAATATCTGTCATTTTACCGGTAATCAAAGAAAGTATTACCGGTACTTATTGTGTAATAGTATTCATAAAACACTATATTATTGATATTAAAATCAGTTATCAATAAAGCATTGATTTTAAGTTAAATAACTTTTTGTTCCGAAAGCGGAGAATCTCCTGAAAGTTTGGGGGCATATCATACATCACCTTAGGAGTATTTTGGAAGATTTTTATTTCACCTTTTTAGCA